AATCCTTCTATGAAATTTTCTGGCCGGCAGTTTAATATTTTTTTGCAGATGATATCAACATCATTCACATATAACAAATTACAATTCGATATCCAAGTTGCTTTCTCTTAATGATATTCATTGATATATTCTTAGTATATAATATCTAAACTTTCCTTTCAATCTCTCCTTCTCTCCTCTCTCTCTCCTCTCTCTTTCTCCTTTAGTCTCTCTCTCTAGAGAGAGAGAGATTATTAGGTGCGGAGTGCGGACGGGGAGAACCGTCCGCACAAGCACTATACCCAGCTAGGTACGAGAGAGATTACCGTTGGGTACTGCTGGGTACTGCTGGGTACCCAGTACTTATGCGGACGGTGCACACTCTGCGCCTAATAATTTTTCCTCTCTCTGATTTCATGGATTTTTTTATTGAAGATAATATTTAGGCAACTGTTGCATGGTTGTTAAGCACATCACATCACATCAAGTGCCACATGGAAAGCGACTAAAAGAGTTGTTTCCACCCTATTGTTGTTAATGAGGTGATTAGGAATATTATTATTGGTTATATATTTAGCTATAAATATTTATAGTATTGATGTAACAAAAGCTCATATTCTGACCGGAGTAAATAAAAACTTTATTTTGAAGGAGATATTTAACTCATTGTTAATTTTTTTGTTATTAATTGATTAGTTGTTTGTTTATTCTTTAAATATATTTAAACAGTAAAATTTTTTACTATATTTTTATGTTATTTCGTTGATGTTTATAAAAGATCGATGTAAGAATCATTAGAGCACTGTAAAAAATTTTTTATGATATTCTTAATATTGCATTCTATAAGCTTTTTATTACATTCTTTAAGCATGATTTTATAAAGCAAACACATATGATTTAATAGATATTTTAATTATTTGAATAAATTATACAGGCAATATTACTATTTAAGGCTTTGTTTTGGAAAACTTTTTTGCTGCTTTTTAAAGCAGTTTTTAGTACAAATATTTTAATTTTTATACTAGAAAACTGCCTTAAAAAGCAACAAAAAAACCGTCCCAAATGAAGCCTAAGTTTGCATTACATATTTCTTCTATCAAATATTTTCATTGTGATGACTTCACCCCATCCTAAGTGAGCTCAAATGACCTTTAATTAGACCCAATTAACTTAATTGGGCTAACTGACTCAAGTTTCCCATTTGAGCCAATTCAGCTAAATTTAGCTCAATTGGTTCAACCTAACCCCTTCAAATGATTTTGATTGACAGAACATTCTTCAATTAACCTAAGTAAATCATCGGTTCAACTCAAATTTGGCTAGAGCCCAATTAGACCCAAATGGGTCATACTAGACCCATTTAGATTTTTTTTTAAACCAAAAGATAATTTCATTAGAATAATAGAGCATTACACCATAAGCCCAAAACAAAAAATGCCACGAAGAAAAGGATTATAGTCAATGAAATGCACTAATAGTCAGGGCCAAACAGTCTAAATGAAAAAGTCAGACAGACTCAGACCACCACTTGGTTGTCATGCTTGGGCCATCCAAGGAGGAAGAGAATGTAACTGCCAAAATTCAAAAACCACCAAAATAGCTAGTGAAAAATTATACCTAGGTTGCCAACCAAGCCATGGCCATCCAAGGCATATGCAGGAAACCTGCTTCATCATTGTCCTAACCCGAAATGAGCGACGCAAATAAATCCAAACCCAAAGGTAACCAAAAAAACCGAAGCCAAGAAAATACCAAAAAGAAGAATCATTTCTTTTTTATGCTTATATTTTCATGCTTAACAGTCTTTTTGAAAAAATCAGCATATGCAATTTGAAGAATACTTAAGTCAAAATTGTCTCGAGTCTCCAATTCTAACTCATTAGTTTCCTCCCCTCTTGCTGAAGAAATGTCATAGTCTAACCAATCACATTGCTCCACTGCATTATCCCTCGCAATATGAGCTAACATCCCCACACTGGAAACAACAGATAAAAACACATCAACCAAAGGCCCCAAACTCCATCTGAATCATCCCCAGAACTCACATCATCAGAATTACCCAGTTCATTTGAAACTCGAGCACCCTCTACAGCACGAGTAGAAAGCAAGATCCCACCCGCAAGTGAGACACAATCACGGTCCTCTGAATCATCAGAAAAAGCAGTTTCACCCATGTTAACATCAACATTAGGCTTAGGAGTGTCGCTAGGACAAACTACCAAATTAAGTAAGCAATTGCTAAGTTCAGTAAACTCAACAACATTCTCAATAACACCAGTGGAATGATCCACAAAATCCACCACTAAATCCACATTATCACCACAGCTTGGTGCTAACAGTAATGTATCAGTCAATGACACATCAATAATTTGTTCAGGAGGATCAAGCCCAACGTCCATAGATGGCACAACCAAATGCCCCTCCACACCAGAAGGCAAAAAGTCATTAGAAACGAACTCAGCATGAATAACAAGCAAAGGATTTTTATTATCATTTTTTACTGGCTCACTATCAAGAGGAACAACACCCAACTTAGTATGAGCTTTTAACAATGTGGGTGAAGGATATGACATTCCGATTTGGAATGCCCCAAAGCTTTATAGTGAAAGCAATACGAGGGAAGGTCCTCCAAAATAATCGACTGAATATAACCCAAATTATCAGTTCCAATCCACATCTTATCAGGAAATTGTTTGGAAACATCTAGTTCGACCAGAACATGTACAACCGAGGGTCTAGAGCTAGCAGAGGTAGCATGGTCAATTTTAAGGGGGCGGCCAAACATGGAATTGGTCCCATGAAGAATCCTAGGGACGAAGAGATGAGATCTCAAATTTGAGAAAGACACCCAAATTGGAAAAACCGGTGACTCAACATCAACATCAAACGAAGGACCACTTAATATTAGATCTTTTTTTTACTTTATTGATCATAGTAGTTTTATTATTAATTGATATGGATTTTAATAAATTATTTTTTACTTGTACTGATAAGCTATTGATTGTTGACTAGAGCAGGTATATTGATTCTTTTGTCTTGCATCTAACGCAGCACTAAGTTTTAGTTACTTACTGGGCTTTTATTCTAATTATATTATTTTACATTATTTTTTATAAAGGTAGGGAGCCTGCAGCATGAGGCTAGACAGTGATGCTAATTTGGTTCTAGTTTTAACTCTTTAATTATATATATATTCTTTTGTAGCCTATGATGACTATTGTATACATGCTTTTGGACTTTGATTTTTGTAGCATAATGTAAATATTGATTGTAGTAATATAATTATATTTTTTGTTATTTATTTATTTATTTTCTTAATGTAATAAGTCTGTTCTGAATAATAATGATCTGGTTGTAAATATATTTTGGTTGTTAATTAAAAATAAGAAAATAAATGAATTGTAAGAAGAAAAAGAAAATAAATAAAGAGAAAACAAATGTAATTCTTCCACTTCCAATCCCGAGGTGTAACACCTATCTTGCTAAATTTATATGATATGTATGCCCACAGTAATATGCATACGTGACAGTATACATAATTGTATACATGATATGATATAAATGATTAGTTGGCAACCGATAGGATAGTTAAAAGATGCATGAAGCATAGTATATTAATATACATATAGATCTAATAGAGATTGAACATATTGATATGGTATTTACATGTGACTAACTGTCATGATAGAAGCATTCATGATTCATCTATAGCATACATGATTCAAATGCATAAGAACATCCTTTGCAATGAATACAATTGATAACATTTTATGCAACATTATTTTGTTTATCTTAGCATAAACAAATGTATTTATTCTTCAAGTACATGATATTGATTTATAGATTTTTGTATGGGATTATGGACTTGTAATGATTTATGAGCTTTCTCGTCTATTGATCATATTGATGTGTAGCTAGTGATTGATCATTGTTCATCATGACAGTTACTGATTCTATATGGATTGAGATAAAATATGCATATTGATTTTTTTTTTTTTTTTTGTGCATTAAATGCAATAGTAGGTTTTAGTAACCTGCTGAACATTGTAGCTCGTTATGTGGTTCTTATTAATTTTAAGTATGAGAAGGGGTTAAGATTCTTTGGAGTAAGACTGATCAATATTTTTATGTTTTATTTTATTATATTATAGTTTATTATTTTTTAGATAGTTCTATATCATGATGAATCAAACTATTTATAGTTGTTTATGTTGATTTTATTTAATTAAATAAATTGGAAGCTCTAGTGGTCTAGTTAAGGGATAGAATAGACAATTATTTCAAAATTTGATCTTGGATGTAACGTTACACTACAGACCTTCGACCACAGTCGCACGACTACGTCCCTTCGAGCACCTTCGTCAAACTGCAATCATTCGATCATTGTCTCTTGACTACGAACTACTGATATTTGTCATCTAACTGTGGTCCTCTAACTTCCATTGCCCAACCACAATCCCCCAACCAATCTCAGCCAACTGCAGTCCTCCCGGCCAATGTCACCGACTACATTTTCCTACAATTTTTCGATCATTATCATTTGGCTACTTTGGCGCCTTTTGACTTCACTGCCTTCCATCATTATCATTGTCATACAAATCATCAACACTAACTCTGACTCCGGATTTTAACACTAGGATTTATATTGAATTTTTTGGTCTCTAATCTCATTTTCTGAAAAAAGTATGACTAAATAAACAAGTGAATAGTCTCTTAAAGACAACTCTCATGTCAATGAGTTCATCAAAATTCTATACAATGTATTTTTACTACATTGAATCAATGCATTCTTGCGAGAAATGAAATTATTTATAATTGATGATAAGTACTAGTATATTTGTTTTAACTAGTCCGCATCTAATGATTTTCCCTTTCCTAGATCTTTTGTGTAAAACTCTGATGGTTCTTAGAATTCTTACACTCTTCTTTTACCTATGTATACATAATAGATTTTGATACAAAATAAAAATATTAAACTCTCTCTCTCTCCATTCAGCAAAAATTCTAACAAATCAACAATAGAATACCCTAAAAAATATTTGGCATGTTTAGTACAAAAAAAAAGAGGATAATTACAATTTCTATTAACATTTCACAACTTCACATTACAAACTAGGTTCTCTCTTTGGAACCAATTCCACCAAGACAACGATTACTTACACTACTCTCGCCGGTCAGAACCGCTATACCCATTAAAAAAAATATTGCCGGCCAGCGGCGGCGCATCTACGCCATCGCCGCAGTGCCATGCCGACGCCGAGATGACGGCCCGCCCGTGCCAGCTCAACGTCAGGCATCCTTCCACCTCCTCGATGCTGTATCCTTCACCGGGAAAGAGCGTCAGTAGCATGCTCGCCTGCCGGAATGCGCTCGAACCATGAGGAACGGGCCAAAGCCCTGCCCGGCCGAAGCGAGCTCTCCAACTCGCCAGCGGCTCGTGCCGCTCGACCCTTTCCTCCCCATCACAGCAAACTATGTTGCAGATCTCCTTCTGCAAGTAAACCTCCGGTCCGGCACCGGCTGCAGCGGATTCTAACGAGTCGAACACAGTTGAGTAGTAGAACAACGCTTCAGTGAACCGGTCGAGAAAGCCGGGACGGTTGTGGTCCGCTTCCTGTTCGACCACAGTCACGATCCTGGGCCGGAGTGCCTTGACCCAGCTTAGCACCGAATCGATCGGGCCGGGAGAACCCGGGTCAGAGAGAAACTGGTGGAGCTGTAAAACGGAGTTGACCGCCACCGTTTCACCTGGTTCAACTCGGAGCAAGTTCGGCTGGATTTCATCTAGTAGGGTGAAGGAGAACGGCACGTTAACGGACCGGGCAAAGTCCGCGAGCCGCCGGCCGACCTCGCAGATCGCTGGCGGCCCGAAACCGGTGAGCCGGATAAACGGCGGACCGCCTGGCCTAAGGGCAAGGGCTTGGATCAGCGCGGGCCACTGGAGGCCGTGCTTCAGGTTTAGATCGATGACGTGGACACGATCAAAGCCGTTGAATGATTCGAGAATCGCCTGGTTCGCGGTTAAGTGAGCGAACCTGAGATAGGGACTGGATTCGTAGAAATAGTGGTAAAGTATCTCGTCCTCGGCCGGCGGCGAAGGTCGAGATCGGAGGCGGCGGTCGAGGGCGTCGATGAAGTAGGCAGCGACCTTCCCGATGCCAAATGCTGTGCCGACCCGTGGAAGCAGGATCTGCATCTCGTGGATTAGGTTTGAAGCGGATGGATGGTCATCGCGATGGATTGAGTCCGCGCAGGACATGAGGAGGTGAACAAGGTTGATACCAGCGTCCTCTGGAGCGAGGAGATCAACGGTGGGTGTAGAAAGAGGGGCAGGAGCGTAGATCTGGACCGGCCAAGGTGCGGTAGCGGGGTGGGTTGGGGGGGAAGATAAGGAGGTAAGCATGGACATGGAGTCCACCCAGGCAGCGAGATCGGAGGGATTGTAATGGACGGCGTCAGAGCAGAGAAATTCCGGCGGGAGGCCGGCTGCGGCGGCTGCTATTATGGCAGAATCGAGCTTCTCGAGGCGCTCGGCAACGTGAGGGAGATCGGAGGGGCGAATAGCATATCCGACGCCGGCTAGGAGGCCATCGATCTCCGGCGATGTCGAGATCGATTTGTTGGCGCTTGATTCCTGACCGTACGAACTCTCGTCCATATTGAATCGTGCAGATAGAAAGAAGAGGGGTTGTTTCTCTTTCCTCCTCGGCCTGCTTATAGAGGAGAGGTCGGACACCTGGCTAATGCCAACGATGATGGGAGAAATGATTTGGGGGTCGTTATATATATAAAGGAAAATATTTTTAATTTATTTTAATATTTTATTTCTCTGCCGTAAAACTATAAAAAATTTGATATATATTTGAGAGATTTTTTATTATTTTTAAAATGATTTTTAGTTAAATTTAAAAAAAAATTACTTCAAAAAATAGTAAATTAGTTGTCCTAAAATAAATGAAATCTAAGACTTAATTTGAGACACATTTTTACTATTATTTTTTAACTCATAAACAATTTCGTGTTAAAAAGTTATTGTTTATAATAGAAAAAAAATTATTTAAAATGAAGTCTAATATTTTAAATTATTTTATTGTTGTTCTTTTTTTTTTTAATTATACTTAAAATCATAAAAATATCAGAAACGATGTATTATGCTTAACTAAAAAAAAATTGATGTATTTGTAATTAAGAAAAAAAAGAACTGAAGATTTTAATTGACAAAATTTAGTTGTAATGTACTATTAAAACTTGTTAATGATAATTTTAAAACTTCTTAATTATTTGGAAAAACAAAATTCAAAATATAATTAATTAATTAATATTCATATAATCAAATCATTTAAAATTTTATTATAATCATTTTTTTTTTCAAAATATTTTCATATAGTTGGTTTTTTCAAATTTAATTTCCTAACTTGATTGTTTATTAAATCTAATCACTTAATTTTCAATAGGGATGTCAACTCATCAGCAGTGTTTTGCTAATAATAACACTGTAGCAGGACTAAAAATTATTTTCTAATTATTTAAAATTGCAGATCTTGATGAAAATTTTGCATTTCAAAGAAATTAATAAAGAATAATTTATGATCATTTTGGAACAACTATCTGATTGCTTTGTTTTTTAAATAACATTTGCAACTTCGTTTGAGTACTATTTTCTCGTTATTTTTCAAAAATTTACGTCGTTAAAATCAACTTTCTGCAGCCATAATAGTAAATTTATTTTCTCTACAGTAACTTCAGAATACACTTTATAAGTCATTGCAGTCGTTTTCCAAACAGAACCTTAATATTTGGCTTCACTCTACGATATTATGTTTTATGGTGCAGAATGTTGGCCATTAAAAGAGAAACATAATATTAAGCTAAGTGTTGCAGAGATGAGGATGCTTAGGTGGATATATGAGTAGCTTTACTTTTAGAGACAGGATTCAAAATGAGCATATAAATGAAAAGGTTAGAGTAGTTTCAATGGAAGATAAGATTAGGAGAGTCGCCTTAGATGGTTTTCTCACATAAAACAACGGTCTTCCAATGACCCGGTTAGGAAAGTAGATGTATTAGATTTGACTTATGATAAAAAAGATAGAAGTAGGCCTAAAAAGACGTGATTAGAAAATATTAGAAATGACATTTCTTTATTTTGTTTAAATGAGAATTTAACTTTTAACCGAGCATGGTGAAGAAAAACGATTCATGTAGCCGCAGACCCCGCATAAAAGGCTTGATGTTGTTGTTATGTAGAAGATTTGGATTTAAAAACTACAAAGTTCATGAACCAGTGGCTGCGGCTGCCAAGAACAAAGGGGTCTCCTGACCGATCGACCATGGCCTCATACACTGCGAGCAATTCATCGACGACCTTTCATCACGTTGATGCGCACTTTTTAACATTCAATCTATGCCGAAACCTTCAGACTTATCTAAGCTGTTAAAAATCTCCAATACTCTCTCTTGTTTTGTCAACATTTTTATTTGGCACCACAAACATGCCTGCGAGATCTTTTTTATGAAATGGTATATTCGTATTATCAATCAAAAGATGTGAAGAAATTTGAGCTCTCATGCAATTCTAAATCCTCTGGAACTTAGCATCTTTGATCTGCTGTCGACGAACACCATCTTTAGCAGAATACATCGTCGTGGTCTACTTGACTGACAATATTTCGTTGCAGTCACGTCTGCTCATTTTGTCGTCACAAGTAGCGGCCATTATTGTTGTGATTGGTGCTGCCTTCACTATCACCATCTGCACATATTCATTGATGTTGTATTGAATAGATTGTCTATACGAATTATGAATTGCTCTCATTTTCCTCAATTTTTTCCATCCTTTTGAGTTTTTTATGCTATGCAAATGAGAAGGGGAGAATTAAATGCTGCTGATAAGCTCAGATCTGGAAACTCTTGATTAGAAGAAACAGTGACACAACACATTCAATTCTGAATAGTCTTTGTTTGGGACAGTTTTCGTACTGTTTCTTAAAGTGATTTTTAGTACAAAAATTTTAATTGTTTACTAAAAATTTGCTTTAAAAAACAGTAAGAAAAACTTATCATGGAAAATATCAATGGACTCAAATTCATCAATAAGCTAGTTTTTATTATGGAATTGAGTATTAATGATAAGTTATATATCAATTATGAAATACATAAAAATATTTGAAAATTTCTTAGTGTGATAATTTTTAAGCATCATAGAATTTTAAACAAGATATTGCCAATGATTTTTAGAGCAAATAGCTAGCTAATAATAAAATATACTAGTAAAAAGAAATTTATGTGTATATATAAATAATATTTGTATATATCAAGCTCTTGTAGAAGTGAATCAATTGAGCTATTTGTGTTTGCATTTTGTTCATTAAGTAAATAAGTTAGAACAAATGTTTCAATCTCCACTTATTTAATTAACAAACAAGTTGAATTTGGGCGGGCTAATTACCAAGCCTGTCATGAGCTTTTCCCCAAAATAGAACTTAGATGAGTTGGATACAGGTTAAGAGTTTTCCCTAATCTACACCTCAGATAAGTTTCACCAAGTCAACCAAACAAAAATTTGATTACAAACGAAATTAGATTGACTTATGCATTATCGAATGTATGTCAACAAACGATGCAAGTTGATGATCAGAACATGTGATAAATTCATAGCAAATGTTATTTTGATTCAGGCATGGAAACAGTCATGACTACAAATAAATCATCAAAAGAAAAACGATTCAGAATATACACAACAAAATCTCATTTCTTTGATTCTTTCTTGGTTGTTTTTGAGACAATGTTGCTGATCATGTTGCTATTCATGAAATTGCAACTTAGATTAACATCTTCATCATCACTTGTAAACTTTGGTTTCCTTCTCATCCATTCAACTCCCTTTCTCATCCGCCATATTTTTGCAGGAGATGAAAGGAATGATAAAAACCTTCTTGAACTCTCACATTTTGGTGAATCAGCTTTGATTTCCTCATTGTCCTCTACTTTAGAACTCTTCCTACTTGTACTTGCAACATTCCAAGCACTTCCAGTAGTATTAAATCTCTTTTCTGAATCCATTTTGTCAGAACATTGTTTCTCTCTTGCATTAGTAATTGTAATTGGCTCGATTTCATTCTGTTTGATTTCAATATTGGTGTTGATTGTTGGTTTATCAAATTTCCTTGGAGCTGGGTGTGAACCTGAGTATGGTGAACCTTCCTTTGCGTTCTGTAACAGAATCTGAAGCCATTTTTCTACATTAACCTTTCCAACTCGGTTCTGAAATTCTATATTCTCTTCTTGCTGTTCATGTGAGCTTGAGTGAAGATTCCATTGTTTTTGTGATTCATTCAACTTGATAGCTTCAAGCCCTCTCTTTTGAACTTCCTTTAGCTTGTTGCTAACTAAAATTGCATCAAGTCCCTTAACATTGTAGGATGAGTGGGAAGGGAATGATGTATGGTTCTCAGGGTCATTGTTCTTTTTGCAGGATTTGTTAGTCTTGATAACATTGAGCTCCCTATGTTGAATTTGCTTAAGCTTGTTGCTGACATTCAAATTTTTATTCTTAGAAAACAAATTTGTACCATCCCCTTCCACAATGTCTAATGAACTATAAGGATATGAAATCTGCCTCTTCTGGTCGTTAGTTCTTTCGTATGATTCCTCTCCTAAAGCAATGCCTTTTAGTTTACTATTAAGGAGAATGTCATCTTTGATTTTGTTTGCCTTACTTGTTTGACAATGATCTTCCTCGTCATTAGCATTGCTCGTACTTTCTTCCAACTCTTCTTGGTCATCAAAAGATAGAGAGATGCCAGCCTCAAAAGCCTTTTGTTCCTCTTCAAGAAACACTCTCAGTTTCTTTTTTGTTGGCCTCCTTACTCTCTTGGTTGATGATAAACTATTGTTGTTCTCCTGGAAATCATCAGATATTTGTGATTTTTTTGGGCCTTGTTCAGAGCAAGCTATGGCATGTACCTCCAGTTCATCTCTTTGTTTGCATTTTCTGCGGAGCGCATTCTCAGAAGCATCACGGCCAGCTCTTTGTGCCTCCAATCTGGCCATTATAGTATTTGATTTCGCCTGATTTAGTCTTAGTTGCTCCTTGTAAACAACAGTCCTAAATCAAAACAATTTAGAGATTAACAATACAAAACATTTTCACTTGTTATATATATATAGAAATATTATATAGACAATGGTGCTATCTATCAAATCAGATGGAGTGCGTTTGATTTGATAATATCTTGATTAAAGAATATAAAAGTTATTTTTTTGTTTAATATCAGCTATATAATGTCTTTTAGCAAATATACAAGTATTAGTTTATTGATGCCTTTAGAAATTTATGATTTCAAGATGTTAGCAAGCAAAAAGCTAAAAACGACTATTGTAAATGTTAGCAAAATAAGTAGATACTCAATCGAGGAAACAAGGTTCTAATTGTTCTAGCTTACTGGTTCATGGCATCCTTCATCATCTTTTCCAGGAGGGAATGGTAGCAGGCCTGGGCTTCCGACAATTGTCTGCACTTCTCTACTCTTTTTCTCCTCTTTACTATCTCTGCTTCCAACTCTTTAAGTGTAAGTCGCTCAAGATAACTCTTCTGCTTCAGTTCATTCAATTTTTCATCCAGCTGACTAATCTCTGCTTGTAACTTTCTTGCCTCTTTTCTCTGCCTCAATGAGTCCCTTGCTTGTGAAATTGTTAGATATGGATTGCTCTCATGATCATCCACCAGAGGTTGATTATTTTCTTTTGAGATACATGATCTAAGTCTTCGAAGTTCTTGGTTGGCAACATCTTCTTTATGAAATGATTTCATTGATGCTACGAGGAAATAACTAAGTATAGCCACAAAATAAGAAGGAAATAGAAATGACGTGTTTGCTTCTACTAACCAGGGAAAGGAGAGTTTTGCCTCAAGGATTTATTAAGATCAACAGACTTCAGTACCATTCTGTCAGAACTATTTTGTGACAATAAAGTTGTGACTGCAGCTAGTCCTTGTTTACTTTTGGCATCAGTGAATTTTTGAGTGAAACTATGTAAATATAAATTCTGCAAACAATTAAGTTCCTCGCCTCCTCCGTCTGGGAAGAAGAAGGAGAATGCTCTACGCCTGCAATATATTGAGATACATTACTATCTGATGTTAAAAACCAAGTTTACTTATGACAAAATTGGAGGAGAAATTACAAAAAAAAAAAATTATGAAACTCACCTGAAATCTAAGTTCCTTGAGCCAAATATAGATAGAAATTGGTTTACTGAGATGCCCAGCTGAAGATCCCACCATGGAATTAGGAAATCCAACTTGTTCTTCTTCTTTTTACACACTTGCCTCTGTAGTATCCTCAAATTACTTGGTACTGTTTTACCTCCTCCTGCAAGTTGCGATTAAATGGGATTTATTAATCGTTGATCCAACTGAACTAAACAGACAAAATGAGTGATTAATGTACTTGAGCAAGGAAACCAGTGATCAATGTCCCAAGCAAGAGGAGAAGCCGGATCAGCGTTACGGTAGACTACATTTCCAAAACAATCTACTCGAAACAAAGCAGGTTCGAATTCAGCATTCCTGGAAAACAAAACAACAAGCATTTTAGCTGCATATGTAACAACAGTTATGAAGAACATACTAGTCAAAATCGAGCTGTGTCGGTCAGTCTTACCCGAGATGATCAAGTTTCTCCCAGAGGAAATCGACATAACTTCTCAGATTCTCAAAAGAGCAAGCTTCGGGATCAATGATGGGGAACATCTGGTTCAATTTCTTGACTTTTAAAACCTGCACAGTAAGAAAGATCATTCCTTCTGTAAGGAATTAGAGAAAGAAGATTAAGAGCAAACCTCTTGAGACTGCAAGGCATATGGAATGAAGGAATGGGGAGGTCCATGAGCGAAAGGGCTAATGGTCACTGAGTTTTTACAGAGCAGGCCATAGGCCTTGGGGAATCCCTGAGCTTCGTCGATGGCCATCTCTTCCTGGGTGAAAACTGGAAGCTCTGCATCCATGGCGTTCTCCAAGGTCAAGGTGGAAATCAAGCTAGAGGAATCTAATGGTGAAGAAGAAGAGCTGTTTGGAAGGAGTTTTATAAACAATTTTTCTTTTTCCTAGGCTTCGAAATCGCAGGAAGAGAGAGAGGAAAGAGCGGAGAGCGGTTGCAACGGTCGAGTTGGACCTAATGCTTATCTGGATTTCAAATCAGGAAGCTGGTCTGGCTCGTGAAAAGGAACGGTGGAAATGGTAATGGCCCACTCACAGCTCCCACTAAGCGAAGGAGCCCCATATTAAACAAGTTGGGCATATATTATAAATAAAATGATGATATAAAACATTTTTTATTATTAAATGAGGATTTAGACACCAAGCTATATATATATCATGATAAAAATATTTATTTTCTAAATTTTATTTCTAATTTATCATTTATACGTTAGAATCAAAATCACATTCTTTGAGATAAATAAAATTAAAAATAAAAAATTTTTATGAGTCTAATTCCATGAACTTACAATAATTATATATATATATATATATATATATATATAACAACAACAACAACAAGCATTTGTCTGACTACGTGGGTCGGGTACAAGAATCCTTTCTCGCCATTGTGTATGGATAAAAGTCAAAGTCACATTTAAATCTAATAAAGAAAGATCATTTATAATATTTTCTAACCAAGTCTTTTTTGGTCTACCTCTACCTATCTTAACATAAGTCAAATCTAATACCTCAACTTTCCTAACTAGGTCATCGAAAGGTCTTCGTTTAATGTGACCAAAATATCTAAGCTAACTCTCCCTAATCTTATCTTCCATTGGAGCTACTCCAAGCTTTTCACGTATATGCTC